TTATTAATATTTGTTTGATAAACAGCGCTATAGCTCTTGTCGTGCATTATGTTTATAATATAGATAAATACGTGATCTGTATCATAAATGGTTATAATACAGATAAATGCGCTTATGTTTATAATAAAGATAAATACGTGATCTGTATCATAAATGTTTATAATAAGATAAATGCGCTTATGTTTATAATAAAGATAAATGCATTCGTTATATTTGTAATAAAGTAAACAAATTTTATTAGCCATTGAATTAGAATTGAAAATCTGATGAAAACAAACACTTATTTTCAAATTAACAAATATTGCTATAAATGCATCAAAAAATAGCCGAATACAATTTATCTTTATTACAAATATAACGAATGCATTTATCTTTATTATAAACATAAACGCATTTAGCTCTATCATAAACATTTTTAATAAAGATAAATGCACGTAGTTATCTGCATTATAAACATACAGCACATCATAAGCTATAAATGAATTGCAAATCTAATAAAAAAAGACACCCTTATTTTCAAATTAAACAATAGCCCAATATTATAGCCATATTTGTTTAATTTGAAAATAAATGCATGCATTAATTATATTTTCAATTCAATTATATCCCATGATGTTCTATATGTTTATAATATAGATAAATATTATATAAATATATAAATACGTTCATTTAGCTTCATTAAAAATGTTTATAATAGAGCTAAATGCGTTTATGTTTATAATAAAGATAAATGCATTCGTTATATTTGTAATAAAGATAAATTGTATTCGGCTATTTTGGATGCATTTACAGCAATATTTGTTAATTTGAAAATAAGTGTTTGTTTTCATCAGATTTCCAATTCATTTATAATACATAATATGTCGTATGTTTTTAATAAAATAATATTATTATAAAACAATAATATTATTTGTTATAAACATTTGTGATAAAAGATAAATTCCAGGGTTTGTCTTTATCAGAAATGTTTATAATAAAGATAAACGTGCATAATAATAATAAATGTATATGTTATGTAATAATAACAAATGCGTTTATGCGTATAATAAAGATAAATACTTTTATGTGTATAAGATAAACATGTGCGCTATGTTTATAATAATCATTTAACACGACACATTGAAAATAAGTGTATGTTTTTATCAATTTTCAATTCATTTATAGCCCATGATGTGCGGTATGTTTATAATAAAATAATATTATTATAAACATTTGTGATAAAGATAAACGTGCATAATAATAATAAATATATATGTTATGTAATAATAATAAATAAGTTTAGGAATTTAAAAGATAAATACGTTTATGTGTATAAGATAAAATGTGTGTTTTGTTTATAATAATCATTTAACACGACAAACTGAAAATAAGTGTGTGTTTTTTTTTATCAGATTTGTAATTCAATTAACATTTTAATTTCCTTCAATTATCTTTATTAAAGGAAAATCCTTTAAGATCATAATGTTAAATTGTCCTTAGATTTGAGAAAAAAAAATGGAGAAAGTCTGACTGAGAAAAAAATAAACTAAAATCGTTTTGCAAACATTTTCAACTCCATCATGTAAATACTCCTCAAAAACCTTATATTTAATGAAAATTTTATACTACAATTATTCTCGAGGTACGATTTCACACGTGTTTTGTAAAAGTGAGATCTTTCAGGAATGAAATCCCTTGTAAACATGCCCTTATAGGAAGAACGTAACAGAGGTAATGTCACACTAGCAAACACTATTATATCTATTCAAATTTTTGCATGGAATCATTAAATAAATTATTATTTAGTATTTTATATTGAAGTATTGTTGAACACTGTTCATGATACCCCCTCCTATCTATTTCAAGCCACCTTCATTTAAACTCGAAAGCATTGTAAAAATATAGATAGAAATCTTATTTAAGTAATAATTAAATATATAGAGGTCTTTGATTATAATATAATATTCAGTGTCACCCAATAATGAATGAATATTGTTTTATTTAACAACATCCTAATGTGAGGCGCATAAAAAAACTCCTTTGAGTAATGTTGTTCCTGAATGTTATGCGTTTTGGCCAGAGTTCTTTTAGAATTACGGAGATCTAACAAATGTGTTACCCATAATGCATCATGGGCATCTGATACATTGCACCCTTACGTGCCATCACGATTCTGTACGAACATACTTCCGCGATGCCATCTAGGGGCTCAGATTCTCCTTTTCCTAGAATCCTACAAGAAGACCTTTAAAGAAACCTTTGATTTGACTTTTTTGCAGGGATTAAAACCACATTGAATTATGTTTTTACATAATACTTAAATTGCACCTATATTGGGTGATACTGGCTGCATTTTAAAGAACAACAACGACAATAATAATAATAATAATAATAATAATTATTATTATTATTTGGGGGGCATGAAGACTGAGTGACTAGTACTATGACGCTTGGTGCCACAGGTTTCGGGTTCGAGCCCCGGCGGTGCCATGGATGTTTGGAATCCACTTTAAACCGAATTACGAGTCTAATATGACTGGTAATCTGGAGACTGGAGTTGGAAATGACTGGAGTTGACTCAACCCTGTAAAAAGAAAACTTCTCTTGTTTCGAAATCTGCCAGTAGGCAGATGGCTTTGGTCCACCGTGGGGCTGTTGCGTCTATGAGGAAGAAGAATTATTATTATTTGATTTTATTCACCTTAAAAACCTTCTTAGACTATGCCTAACCTCATGCTTTACGCTAAAGTCTCATCTACATTTGAAAGCCTACATCTCAAACTTTTGAGCGCCACACATTAAAAGCACTTGAAACCTGTTGGTTTTAGTTTGGATGGAAAGTACAGCACATGTGAAAAGGTTTAGTGGCTTTGGAAGGTCGCTGGAGATGGTGGATTTAAGAAAAAAATTTTTGATGTTCCAGGAAATTTTTTAATTAACATCCTTTTAAAAATTATTTTTAAAATCAACTATTTTAATTATCTTTAATGCAATCAAAGCAGGGCGTGATGGCCGAGTGACTAGCTCTATAGCAATCGGTGCCACACCACAGGCTTCGGGTTCGAGTCATGGTGATGCCATGGATGTTTGTAGTGGTTCGAATCCACTTTAAGCCGTGGGTCCCGGTATAATATGAATGTAGAGTGTTTGGTGTAGGGCTGACAACTCTACCCTGTAAAGAGTCATCCTTATAGAGCCAAGTCAGACATCTACCTACGGGTGAACCATTATAACATAAACTTCCCCTTCTTCCATGAGACAAGACGGGTTCTTGGACTTTGTCTAGTTGCTGTCTACCAAATGGGATAAAAAACAACAACACAATCAAAGTGGAAAATATCATTTTTTATGACATATTTATAGATGCTTGTCTTTTCTTTTTAAAAAGTAAGATAAAAATGTTCAAAATGTGAGTGCTTTTTATAATTTAACCCTACACTTGGAAGTAAAATCGATGCATAAAATATTCAATTCCCGCCACCCATATTGATTGAATGCAAACACACTAAGTCTGCGTTGACAGTTCTATTGCGCAGTGAGTGCATGCTGCAGTGATTTAAGGCCAGGTGGCTTTTTTACTACCGCGTCTGAAACATGTGATGGAGAGAACATTTCTCCGCGAAATGCATCGTAAACAGGAAACTTTTATATATTCTTTGAGTAAATTTCCACAGAATTCCGCTTTCTTTTCTTCCCGACAGACCGACAGGTGTCTGGCTGACTGAAACCTCATTGTCTATCTGACATAGGAAATAGGTAGGGAGTGAGTGAAAAAAGCAGCTAACTGAAAATATTTAAATGTATTTTTAAGATTTAAATTTCTTGCAAAACTTATTTGCATGTGTAAAAATGACAACGGAAATTAAAAAAAGATGTTTTAGATGGTTTTTAAAATAGATCGTGAGGTTTGATAGTGAGAGAAATGTATTTTGCCACATCCTGATTGCCATAAATTAATTATTTGTTATGCTATATATTGAAGAATTTAAGTACATTGTATGAAAAAGCCTTTTTATGTTTCTACTATTACTTTGCCCCACCACATCACTGTGTCTAGAGCTGAGTTACCTCTTTACAGTTGAGGAATGATGTGAATGATAGAAGTCTGACAGGGCATCGTGACGTTCTACAGTTATATGAGACCGGGATCTACAGCTTAAAGTGAATTCCGAACCACTACAAACATCCATGGCACCGCCGGGACTCGAACCCGAAACCTGTGGTATCGAGCGCCAGAGCTCTAGCGACACGGCCATCAGGCCTCTAACCTCTAACTGATGCCTCTAACTCAGGCCCTCCTAATCTTTTAGTTGCAGCAGTGATAATTGAGTGATGTGGTTTCACTATTATAGTCAATTATCATCACCATCAGTGGCGCAATACCCCATTTTCGGCCAATACCGTCTGCCTACTTTCATATTTCGAGACAGAAGCTTTCTTTTTAGCAGGGTTGTCAACTTTACGCCCAATGCTCTACAGTCATATTAGATTAGCGCCGGATGACCGAGTGGCTAGCACTCTGTCGCTCGGTAACACAGGTTTCGGGTTCGAGTGTGGCGATGTCAGGGGTGTTTGTAGCGGTTCGAATCCTTTAATGAATGCAGAGAGTTAGGCGTAGGGCTGACAAATTTACACAATAAATAGTCTAACCGACAGGTGTCTGACAAAAATACACTTAAATATTTACCCGTCTAACCGACAGGTGTCTGGCTGCGAGACCTCATTGTGTTGTTGTTGTTGTTTCTTATCCCACTTGGCTGGCCAAGCCCACGAGCCCATACGTACTCATGATTGAAGGGGAAGGAAGCAGCTTCTGTTGTGATGGAGCACCCGTAGGTAGAAGTCTGACTTTGGCTCCGTGACGCCTCTTACAGTCATAGGAGACCGGGACCTACGGCTTAAAGTGGATTCCGAACCACTACACGCATCCATGGCACCGTCGTGATACGAACCCGAAACCTGTGGCACCAGCACCAGAGCGCCAGACACTCGGCCACTCAGGTCCCAAATTTGTGAATGCCAACGGCACGCGGTGTTCGCGGGTGGTCATCCACCCAAGTACTGACCGCGCCCAATGATGCTTGACTTCGGTGACTATTAGAAAATGGGAATAAAAGCTCTTTGGCTCAGGTGCCCTTTCCCACACATCCTCGAATGACTTGACTTCGGTGATCTAACGAGAAGACCTCATTGTTTATCTGACATAGAAATGGTAGGAGAGTGAGTGAAAAGAAGCCAACTGAAAATATTTAAATGTATTTTTAAGATTTAAATGTCTTGCAAACTTGTTTGCATGTGTAAAAAGGACAACGGAAATTAGGAAACAGGAAAAGATGACGTTCTTATACAAAAGGTCGTGTGGTTTGATTGTGAGAGGAATGTATTTTTGCCACATCCTGACTGCTATAAATTAATTATTTGTTATATTCTATTGAAAATTTAAGTGCATTTTATGAAAAAGCTGTTTACTTTTCAGTTGCAGCGGTGGTAAATGAATGATGTGGTTTTTTTTCCCCTTATTGTAATCAACTACCATCATCATCAGTGGCACAACAGCCCCATGGTGGATCAAGGCCGTCTACCTGCTAGCAGATTTCGAGACACGAAATGCTTTTCTTTTCACGGAGTAGAGTTATCAGCAATACATTCACCGCTCTACAGTTATATTAGACTGGGATCTACGGTTTAAAGTGGATTCTGAATCATTATAAACATCCATGGCACCACCGGGACTCGAACCCGAAACCTATGGAACTGAGCACTAGACTAAAATAACTAGATCTTTTGAGGTCTGGTGGTCAATTGGCCAGAGTTCTGGGCTTTGATACTACAGGCTTCAGGTTCGAATCCTGGCGGTGGAATGGATGCTTGTTGGTGATTCGAATCCACTTTGCCGTAGGTCCCGGTCTCATATGACTGTAAGAACATCACGGAGCTGAATCAGACTTCTATTTACGGTGTTCCATTTTCGATAGAAGCTGCCCTTTTGAATCCCTCCATGAGTAGATTACTCATGGGATGTCCGTCCTGCACTGCAAGATACTGAGGATTAGACACCCACCCACAGACTTTGGCCGCTCAAAAGCAGAGGCAGAGGTTTTGTTAATTTTTAAAGAAATTATTCCTACCTTACATTTGTTCATCGAAATTTTTCTTCTGGAGATATTAATTTAAAAACAATATTAATTTGCCTTCGTGGTTACCACAGAGAGAAATTATTAACAGTGAAGGAGTAAATGGATAGAAAGAGATAGATATTCGTACATTTATGTCTATAGGACTGCGCAACCATAGTCCCATTTAAATCCCAATGCTAACTGAAATTGCCATCTCAAACGCATACTATAGACATAATTATGCTCTGAATAATATTTTAAGGACATTAAAAGTAATTGTTTAGACACAACTCCCTAGAATTATGAAGGCAAATCTGACAAAAATATTTAATGATGATTAGCAGTAATTATCAAAAAAAAAAAAAATTTTTTTACTGATATTCATACATGAATCACATTCTTCCTATATTCACTAATTTAATTAAAATACTTTTCTTGCAGACATTTACTTTTTTTTTGTAAATTTTTAGGAAAACATTAAAGCAAATATAAATAAATTTTTCAAATTTCGAGATTTATTTTCTATATTATCTATAAAATTTAAAAAATATTTTTGATGAAGACTGTAAAAAGTTTTAAATGAACGTGCAACATTATTTTACTTTGCTCTTCTATTATATTTTCTCTATTTTAACTTTTGTAAGTTTTATCTCCAAATATTGACTTATGATTTTTTAATGAAATATTTTTTATATAATACTGGTTAAGAGTGTTTTAATAAAAGATAATTATATGAGAAAAAAATTTTTGTATAGTCTTCGTGTAATTGATTTTTTCACACTTTGCCAATGTTTAAATTGCTGTAATAAAAAGTATTAATAAAAATAATAAAATATTAGTTAATTACTGTATTAAAAGAATTAGTTAAAAAAAGTAAACTTTATAGAAGCGCTTATGAAAGATCAGAAAACACATATACAAGCAAAATTTAATTTTAATATACACAGATAAAAAAATTTTATATTCATATTCCTTAAAAATCATAAATGAAATTTTATAAAAATCAGTAATGCATGCTGAATATATTTTTAACAAAATTTAAAAAAAAAAATATAACAACTGCAAAAATTTTAATTAACTCTCTTTTTAAATTATTTTAAATTTTCAACAATGCACTCCTTTATTTTTCAGTATGAAAGTTTTGAAATAGAAAGGAAAAAATACCATAATTAACTATAATCTTGGTTAAATATATGAAATCAAACATTTAATTTTATTTCATATAACTTTAAGCTTAAAAACTTGGTATTTCGAAATATACATACCTCAGAAAATTTAATTAAATTAATATATTGATTATTCTGATAAATCTTATGAAAAGTTATTGTATACGTAGGAAGAATAAATATTATATTCACTTTTGTCTGTTTAATTTATTTGTATTTTTAAGAATAAAACATATAATAATTATTTTGTTATAATACAATTGTTTTTCTGAATACTTTCTCGATTTTTTCACAATGGCAAGTTTACAGGACAATATAATAAAAAAGAAGAAAAAAATACAAAGAACAAGATAGAAACAAATGAAATCAGTTAATCCATCCACTTAAGTCTGGCAATTCAATAACGCTTCTATAAAGAAACAGGAAGCAAGGTGAGATATATCCATTTCTTCCTGGTTATCATACAGGAGACAGAGAGGATCAGGAGCCAGTTTAATTCAGTGAAGGTGCTTGCGGAGACATTCGTAACCACAGAAAAGCCGTAACCATGCCACCGATTTTTCTCTAGGCTGTTCAGGGATATGAATAGGATCGTACCAGGACTTGTGACTGTTTCTAGCGGCAACATCCTCAAAGAAGGAGCACATAAGGGTCTTTTTTTAATTATTCCTTCTCTTGTTGTCCCAAAACAAGAGAGAGGATAATTAAAAGACCCTACTAGAACTCTAAGAAACACTGAGAGCCAGAGTGAAGACGTGGGCTCTAGTCTCTAGGCCATTCGTGGATATCATGAATAGGATCGTACAAGGGCTGGTGATTGTTTTTTAGCTTAGGTTTGGTTTGGTTTGTTGCTCTACGGTCATTTTGTGCACACTTTGGGCCAATTAGACCGGGACCTACAATTTAACATGTATTCCGAACCACTAACACGCATCCATGCCGCCGTCAGGATTCGAATCTGAAGCCTGTGGTACCAAAGGCCAGGGCGCTAGCCAATTGGCCATCAAGCCACGAGTGCTTCTAACAGCAGAATCCTCAAAGAAGAAGCACCTAAGGTCTTTTAAATTATCCTCTCTCTTGTTTTGGGAGAAACCACCTGCGTTGCACTGCAGAATTCTAAGGAACTCATACTAAGAGCCAAACTGAAGGCCGTGTTTGTAGATCATTTTGCCATATCAGACGTTGCCCGGAGTGCAGCAAGAAGAGGTAGATCTACGTTGCAGAACTTTAAATAAACCTCACTTTTCCAGATTTTTTTAATACGAGAGCGAGTCAATAACTTAATCAAGATCTTAGGATTAAAACAAGTGTATTTCTGTCAGTAAAAATTTAAACCATATTCGTTGGGTGGTTCTACTTTTAATTGCGGTTGAAGCAAGAGTGTTTCTTGTATTCTATAGATATGGAAAAGCCGAGTTCCATGATCTCATTAAAGATATTTCATTTAAAAGATATCTCACTGAAGGCGAGTTAAAGGAAACTCATGGCACGTCTGCACCTTCATTTGAGAGTGTTTACAATTGCCTGAATGAATTTAAACGGTGAATGAATTTAAACATTCACAAGTGATGGACACCTTTCAGGAAGTCCTCTCGAGTGAGTATCAACCTGATGGCCAATCAGGTAGCGCTCTGGGCTTTGGTATTTCAGGTTTGAAATTTGGAGGTGGCATGGATGTTTACTAGTGGATGGAATCCATGTTAAACTGTAGGGGCCAGATCTAATTAACCTGAATTAAGGTGCAAAAAAGGGATCCTAGAGAGGCAAACCAAATCAAATTCGCTTTCTCTTTCAATTATATTTATTCTTATTAGAAATAATAATTTTTTTCCTTTAAAATATAAGCAATCGCAGAATACAAGGAGCATAAGAACAACATTCAAAACATGGCTGCAAGAGCAAATGTGAGGAGCTACAGAGTTTGTCGCTCTACGGCCATTTTTTGCACATTTTTAGGCTAATTATACCGGGATCTACAGTTTAAAGTGGATTAATCACTCACAAACATCCATGCCACCATCAAGATTCGAATCTGAAGCCTGTGGTATTGGAAATTTACTTTATTAAAAAAAAAGGATTACTATTTAAAACGTCATAACGTTTGTTCCTTGAAAACTCTTTTTATTTTTGATAAAAAGTTTTTTTTTAAATTTATTTAAAAATTTGTGCTTAAGGAATGTCTTCGTCGATGCTTTGGGCATACGTAGGAAAGGAATTTACGATGAACATGCATTATCTTGCAGATTGGTCTGGTTTGTCGCTCTGAGATCATTTTTGCACACTTTGGACCAAATAGACCGGGACCTACATTTTAACGTGAATTCCATACCACTCACAAACATCCATGCCACCGTCAAGATTCGAATTTGAAACCCGCGGTACCAAACGCCAGAGCGCCTGCTGATTGGCCTCCAGGCAGAATAGTACTTTTAGTTTATTTAAATACGGTTATGTCAAAGGGTGCGATACTATCGCTTAATCAAATTTGGGAATGAACCTTTTGTTTCTTTTTTTTACAGTTTATACGAGTTTAAAATTATTTTAAAACTACGAATGCACCATATCTCCATTTTTTTCAATTTCTTCTATTAGCTCACACTCTCCCTATATATATCTTGTTCAAATTTTCAATCACATAAAATACTTTGTATACATCCACTCTAGTTCAAATACATTTTTTTTTGAACTTGTAGTGGATGACACTGGATGTTAATACAGTTTTTCAAATATTAATTCATTAATTAAATATAATTAATTAATTTTAGTTGTTTTTAGATTTCAGTTGCCTGCATCTACCAATAGATGGCGCCAG